CATAATGTATAATCTAATGCATAGAAAGGGAATGTGACAAGAAGATGTCTCATTTCAATCTGAAATTGCAAGTATCTTCAGTAATTTTCTCTAAGCAGTTTTTATACACCTCATTTCCTTTTCATCAGAAATGTTCTGTAGCTGCAGGTGAGAAATGCAGGTTGACCATGTAAAACCATCGTGGACATAGGCTGTCATTTTGCAAAGTCCACTGGATAATTGGTAGGTTTTTATAAATAATATAATAAAGGATATTTTAGGAATAAATCTGTTTCCTAAGACTCTTATGTATGTTCTAGAATATGCTTCTCATTTGGATTTTCTCCAAAAGGACCATGGAATTATAAAAGCCAGATCACCTTTCTCCATGTAATTAAGGACATTTATGACAGTTGCCATTGACACACACACACAGGTTTTATTCATTTTATTTCACTTAGTATTTTTAAAAGATTGCAATGAGCTAAAAGCTGTGGAGAGAATAAAGGAAATATAAGTCACTGTGAAAATATAACCTAGTCTGGAAGAGATAATGAACAATGCAAGGTAGTATAAAATCAAATTTTCAGTGTAGTGCTGCATGTTATGGCTTCAGAAGATGGAGACAGAGTCTTTTCTAAATTTAGCACTTGATTACCCACTGTCTTGTACTATGTATTAAATTACTTACAAGAAACATTCAAGAAGCTTTTGCTTTATAGTCTGCATGGACTACCCAGCAGTTTTTTCTGGTTTTGATGCAAAATCACTTACCAGGGCCAGCCCTTGCAGTGAATCATTCCTCAAGGGATCATCTCTTATTCCTGGGATTAAAATTCTGTCCCTACCAATTTGTGTTAATAGCTAAGATACTGGTCTCAAATCCTGCCCAAGTACTCACAGTCATTACTCTAGATGTATTACCTACAAAGTACTACTATTTATTTTCTTGCTTTTCCCTCTAGATTTTCTTTCCTCTTCTATATTTTAATTTAATTCTGATAATATTTGGTTTAATAGGGAAAATGGGAACTCAAATTTATTAACTGCATACTATGTCATTATGTGCTAGTTCTTTTTCATTTGTGTTCTCTCACCTTTTTCTGCACACATAAACCCTAGAATGTAGTTATTAATCCTCATTTTTAAAGAAAAACTGAAATCCAGAGCAGTTAAATGAATTGTCTAACATTGAACAGGCAAGTTTTCCACAGACTCCAGCATCTGGTATTAGAATGTGAGTTTGGATGCTTTTTTGAATTAATATTTACTAATAGACAAAGAGCGATATTTAATGTTGTATATTTTATTCTAACAAAAAGTTGAGTAAAAAGTAGCACAGAATTGAAGATGAAACAGACAATGGAATAGGATACCATGAGTGAGAAACAGAGACACAGAAACAGATTCATGAAGACTTCAAATATTGGAATTATCAGACAGATTAAAAACAAACCCACTTTACTTGCTGTTTCTAATCAATAAAAGCAAGCCTGAAAATGTTGTTAGGGAATTGAAAATGCTAAATGGTGATCAATGTATTTGAAAAAGAACCAAATAGAAATTTTAGAACTGAAAAGCATAACTGAAAGTAAGAAAAAGGTTTGATAGCAGACTAGACATAGCTGAAGAAAGAACCAGTAAGCTGGAAAATGAGTGTAAGAAACTATTCAGAATGCAATACAGAGAGAAAAACGATGAAAGTACAAAAGAGAGAATAAATGATAAGGAGAATAAAGTCTGACATTATTTCACTGGAGTCCAAAAGGAGAGAAAAGAGAAAATGGGGTAGAGGCAATACCTGAAGTGATATGGTAAGGAGTATATGCTCCTCCAATAGTCTTTCCTGTTTCTGCTTATCAAAACTATATCCTTTCAGTTCCTCAGGCCAAAAATCTTAGTCATGCCTGCCCTCTCTATTTCTCTTCTACCCTGTATCCAACACATCAAGAAATTCTATTAGTCTACCTTCAAGATACACCCAGAATCCAACCACTTATCACCAACTCAAATGCAAATGCCCTGATCTATCCTGGGTCACTGGTCTTAACAGATCTCCTTGCTTCCAGGTATTATACCATATAGTACACACAAGGGTACCCTAGGATGTTTTTATGGTTGACATTTTCTGTTTTTATTATTTTTTTCTTATTGTCTCCATGTTCTACTTTGTTTTTGTGGAGTTGGTTAACTCTGTTCAGAAGTAGAGACTGCCCATACCTTGACTATGGCAATAGTCTTCAGGCTCTGCCCCTTCCAGTCACTTTTGCATACCAATGGCATGCTAACCAGCAGAAGGGCAATGTGCCATCAATCTAGAATTTCTTGTCTTCCACTTACTGGAAATATAACTTTGTGATTACCTTTTCTGTAAAAGGAGAATGGTAATAATAGAAACTACTTCAAAGAATTATTTTAAGGCTATTTCAATGAGCTTCAGTAAGTAAAAGGAATTTAACATGCTCCCTGAGCATAATAAATGCTCAATAACCATTAGCTATTATTATCATTACTATGCCAGTCTCTGCTTAAATATCTTCAATATTTTGCATTGCCTACAGAATTAAGCGTAAACTTAACATAATAGTAAACCTTCTTTTACTTATCTAAACTTAGCTCCAACTTCTTCCTAATGTAAAATACCAGCTTCATCTATGCTCTTTCCACCTCTGTGCCCTCATGTTTTATGTTCTGTCCCAGCTTTCTTGCCTGAAAACTGCAGCTTTTCACAACCATCTTCCTTCCCAGCCAGTCTGATTTCTTCTCCCCCTGATTTTTCACCATGCTTCATTTATCTGTTATTAACTCTCAAGTTATATTGCATTATAATTTGTTTGCATGTCTGATGCCACATTTGATTGCATACTTCTCAAGGGCAGAGATTTAAAAAAATTTTACTAGACTTTATTTTTTAGAGCAGTTTTAGGTTTACAGAAAAACCAAGCAGAAGGTATAGAGATTCCTCATATACTCCCTGCTGCCACACAGGCATGGCCTCCCCCACTATCAACATCCCCCTCCAGAGTGGTACATTTGTTGCAAGCAGTGAACCTACACTGACACATCATTATCATACAAAGTCCATAGTTTACACTAAGGTTCACTCTTGGTGCTGTACATTCTATGGGTTGGGACAAATGTATAATGACATATATCCATAGTTATAGTATCAGAGAGAAAAATTTCACTGCCCTAAAAATCCACTGTGTTCCACCTATTCATCCCTCCATACCTCCTAACCCCTGGCTAGAAATTCTTTTCCAATTTATCCTTTTTTGTTGTTGTTGTTTTCTTTGTTTTTGTGGTACGCGGGCCTCTCACTGTTGTGGCCTCTCCCGTTGCGGAGCACAGGCTCCGGACGCACAGGCTCAGCGGCCATGGCTCACGGGCCCAGCCGCTCTGCGTCATGTGGGATCTTCCCGGAACGGGGAATGAACCCGTGTCCCCTGCATCAGCAGGCGGACTCTCAACCACTGTGCCACCAGGGAAGCCCCCAATTTATCCTTTGAACATAACATAATACCTAATACATAATTGACCCCAAATAAATGTTTTTACATGTATGACTGAATGAATGAAAGGAGGAAGGGACAAATTAGAGAGAATGAACGCATCTTGTCATTCTTGCTGGCTGATGTTTTGTCTCTGTTTCAGTGGTTACTCATACTACCTTAGCCTACTCAGAAGATCACCCCCACAAACTACCGTCTTTCAGAACCTGGCTTATTTTTGAGATGCTTATTCAGACCCCACCATATATATTAAACCCGAATCAAGAGTGAGCTCTGGAAGCTTTTAAGACTTATTTTATGAATTATCTATTTAATTCAATGTATCACACTTGCATTTTTTGTTTCATGAACCTATGTCTGTATTCCTCAGTGAGACTAAATTATATTTTTGTGTGGTGGGTAAAGTTTCATCCCCTCACTTTTTATGAGCAAGAGGTGCCTTAATAAATTATTGCTTTTCACTTGGGATTGTAGACAATGGCCATGGAACAGAGAAACTTGCTGGTCTCTAATGAAGTCACAGTCTTAGTCACTTTTACGTCAGTTCAGCTAACTGTCTAGAACAAAATTATTGGGGACTAATTAAAAACATAACAAGGAAGTAAATTTTTTGAAGATTTGAGCTTACAACAGTTTTCCTAAAAAGTCATAGGGGATTGCCAAATTGTTGTTAAAATAATATAACTTCTGTGTGCTAGCAGGAGTTATTTGCAGAACATTTTCCATCCTTTCCCCAGTATTTTAAACATTCTAAAACTACATCTTTGATCTTATTTTGTTTTGACATAAATTCAGGAAGAAAATGTTATACATGTTGCTGATTTTTAAGTCATCATTTTCTTTATTTATGCTCCCCCAATACTGAACATAAGGGAAGATTACTTTGGATTTTTGAAATTTCATTCACTTAGTTTTTGACCATATAGGAAGATATATTTATCTGTGAGTGATAGTTTTTTTTTTTTTTTGTCTACATTATAAAACTATTTTGCACCAATATTTTTTCATCAAGTTTAATTCACTGGGATGCTTTTTTACAGTTTGAGGGATTTCTGGGAAAAATGCTTTGAGAAGCCTTGAATTGGGGTTTTATGAATCAGGGAGGTATGAAACTTCTCCTTTTAATAAAAATCAATACTCACTTGAAATATTATGGAAAAAAACTACTTCAATCATATAAAAGACATATTTTTTTAGTTAAGGTTTTAGTCATTTGTATAATGGCAGTCTTAACAATTATGCTGGATGATCTATCATTATGAATTAAATAATAATACTCTTCCTTCTTGGAACATTTCTACACGGGAAGGTATTTACCATTTTAAAAGAAAACAAAGCATTCAATAAACATTATTTTTAAAATATACTGCTGAGTGTATTCCTCATTATGATCTTGTAATTAATACCAGTTTTAAGTTGAAATCTCAATTCATGTTTACTAAAGTAATTTCAAGTCTTAAAAGGTAAACTGAGTGATTAGGTTCATGGTAGTTCTATTTTTATTCACAGAGAATGCCTCTGAGGTAGCATTTACTGCTCCAGGAACTAGTAACCATAGAAACAGCTCCACAGGCCCAACACCTGACTGCTCACCTCCATCCCCTGACACTGCCCTCAAAAATATTGTAAAAGTCATTCGACCCCAGGTAAGTGTCCAGCATGACATCATCTGCACTATAATATATTTCAATTTTGAATCAGTGCATGTACACCATTTATATTGCAATGCCTGGACTATCTTATAATAAGTAAATGGATTTTCAGATTAAAAGAATGGACTTGGAAGAGAATGTTTCCTTCCCTTGGAGCTGATGATAGACGTTGAAATCTGTATTGGCTTTTGGAAAAACGAATTTGTATATTACATGAAAAAACAAATTACGCTTACAAAAAATGGCTATTTCACGTCATTTTTCTCTTACAACATTTTAATAATTTTGCTCCAATTATTGAACTGCTACATGTTTTCTGGTGTTTCCTTCTCCTTTTGTCTTCATTTCTCTGGATATGCCACATTGTTTGTGATCACTTCTTTATCCTTCAACCCCAGTTGTTTATATATACGTATTTTTTCCAGTTCTTTATGGCTTCAGACTAATTTTGTCTGTGTTTAATATTGCACCTCTCATTGCTCCTTATTTTCCTCCAGTGCTCACTTTCCTCTGGCTGTCTCTTTACCCTTTGTTCTTTTTTTCCATTCCTGTCACTTTTCTGTATGGGTTTCTTTCTCTTCCCCCTTCTCTTTCAGTTGGATATCCCAGTAGGCGGTTTGCAGGCAAGCTTTAGAAATATCATTGGGACAAGCTGTTCTGTGATATTTCATTGAAAATAGCACTTATAAAGCTGTTTGCCTTATATTTTTGCCAACAGATGGACTCAGAACATGGAATTGGTGATGTTCTCAACCTGGCTTATTCTGAATGGGCCTCATAAAATCCAAGAGAGGGGAACTTTGGATCAGATCAATGCCATTCACTATCTACTTAGATATATAGTATGAACGAATACCTTGAGCCAATTTGCAGAACAAATATGTCTTTTAAGGTAGTTTTGGTCTAAATGAGCAATGATTTGTTTAATATCTAACCTTCTTTACCATAACTTACTTTGGATTATTTTATTATAATCATCATCCTCATCAGTAAAATGGCATTTAAGCTTTACATATCCACTACAGCTTGTAGAACACTTTCATACAAATTGTTTTGTTTAACCTTTATCAGTTCCAAGGGAATGTATATTTTAGTGTTATGGATAAGGATATTGGCACTCCAAAGGGGCTAAGTTGTGCAACTGATTGGAAGTTTCTTTCCTTTCTTTGGTATAATAATTAATTGTCTCCTGCCATCCTGTTCAGAGGGTAGAAAAATCCTCATTAGGTTGTATAACTTGTTACATCTTTATGAGGCTAAAACGTACAGGTTCATAGGCATAGGTAACATTTCACACAGTGTCCCAATATGTACAGGAGAAAAATGTCTTCAATAATTCCTCTTCCTTCTCAGGGGAATTTGACCTAGTTCATTTAATTCAAGAAATAACCCTCACTAAACTTAGATTTAGATGCTAAATATCACATTTATTATCATTGTCTTTCTCGTTAGATGAAGGTGGTTCTGGTGTTATTGTGCAGCTGTTACATTTTCAGCATTTTAAACTATTTATGCAGGAGATTGCCCTATATATGTTAATAAAATCTATTACTAAACGTATTTATCTTTATACCAATATAAATTCTCTAATGTAAATGCATTTGATCATTTAATGAATGAAAAACAGATTCTTTTCTACATAATCTAATCAACTCTACAGGACCTTATTCCATGAATCCTCCTTTGCATACTCTATTTTGTTGTATTTTAACTTATTTTAATAAACTTTGAAGAAAACTAGAGGTAGTTTTAAAGCCAGAAATTTCATTTGACTCCATTCCTTGGTTCTGTCCCTTTTTAAAAGTGTATGAAGGTAACTGACTCCACTTTCCTTTCTTAGATGTTATAATGATGATTTAGGGAGGGAAAAATGAAGGGAGAAAGTCAGGAAACTAAGTCTGATAGTATTTAAATTAGAACCAATGCAGCCTGTATGTGTGTATGTTATAGACAATAACAGCTAAGGTATATAACTGGGAAAGAATATAACCTCAATTGGGCTACCCTTTCTTTCACCTCAGAGACATTGGTGCATTACTTATTTCTCCTCATGAGTCCTGATCTCCTGGGGTTCCTCATTCACTGTAGAGGGCAGAGAATAGAAAATTCAAGCGAAAGTAATTATGAAGGAGTTTTGGGGTAGGACATGTGATTTCAGGAAAGGGTTTAGAGACCAGAGGGTGTGGATGGGGGACAGCTAGATGGATAGAATAGAGGACTCCCTGGTGTGTTTTGACAAGTCACAGGTGTGTCAGGCATTGAACATTGTCAAGGACTACTGTTCCAAAGAACAGAGAATTATTAGTTAGCTTATATAAGAGCCTATACTGTGATCATAGGTTTAACCCTCTGAAGTGTTTGCTAATTCTCCTGGCTTTTCTGTCTGGAAATGCAAGAATGTGGTTTGATTGACTTGTGGGTATTCAAATACTTTTTTTTTTCATTTACTAATTAGAAAGTAATACCATGGTTGAAATGATCATTTCACTCTTAAAACTGGTGATGGGCCTTGAAAATAAAAGTATAAATGCAACTTTTATTCATGAATTTACATTTATCTGCCTGAGCATTAGCAGATGTGTTTAGCCTTATTGTGAGAAGAATGATATAGAATAGATGAGAGATAAAAACAGGACTTTTCATCTTATTCACTACAAATAGATACTGATTAGATAGAGCAAATTAGGTTACGTCTCCTTTGCCTGATGCATGCCTTTATCTAGTCTACTTTCCATAACTATAAATGAAGAATATCCATTGTAACCAAGTTGTTGCTTTCAGTATGAGGTAGAGCTGATTATACATTTCATGTATTTCTGTTTGGTGTTTTAATTACTTGGAAGCTACAGACGTTGCGGTGCTTTGTTGAGTTTGATTCTATTTGGCATATTTATTAACTCATTAAGTCATAGCTGTTAGTTCTGCATCCCGTATTTGATCTTTTTTTTTTTTTTTGCGGTACTCAGGCCTCTCACTGTTGTGGCCTCTCCTGTTGCAGAGTACAGGCTCTGGACGCACAGGCTCAGCGGCCATGGCTCACGGGCCCAGCCGCTCCGCGGCATGTGGGATCCTCCCAGACCAGGTCGCGAACCCGTGTCCCCTGCATCGGCAGGCGGACTCTCAACCACTGCGCCACCAGGGAAGCCCTGTATTTGATCTTTTTACCTTTGCTTCTTTGGGCTCTTTCATGTCTTAAAATCCTCCAGATTGTGAAACGTTCTATATTCAATTCATAGAGCCTGAAAGATTTATGTGCTACTTGCTTCTCTTTGTTTTTCTCCAGTGTATTAACCCACAAGCCTGAGTTTCTCTATTTAGATGAATTCACAAGGCTGGGTTCACTTACTTATACTTGAAAATAAAATTATTTTTAAATTTGAAAAAATACTTGAAATACTTGAAAAAATATTACCTTTAAAAAATTTAGGTAGGTCTATTGACATACAAGTTTTTTTTTTTTTGGCTACTAAATAATTATAGTTCCTTGTAATGGCTTTGTTTTTTTAAAGTTCTCCTGGTGAAAGTATCTTTTTCCCCTAATTGAAGAATACAATACAGTTTGATGGATTTTGACAGCTGTGTTTGTAGGTGTAACCACCACTCAAAGCAGGATATATATAGAACATTGGTGTTACCCCCAGAAAAAAGAGGTATACCTCATACCTCTTTCCAATCAATGGCCCCTATTCCTGCCTCAGAGACAACTGCTTTCTGATTTTTATCACTATTGTTACGAATTGCTTATTCTTGGACTTTATAAAAATGGAATCCTAGAGTGTGTGTGTGTGTTTTGTGTATGTCCAGGTCTGGCTTCTTTCACTCAGTGTAGTGTTTTGGGGATTCACTCATGTTATTCCTTTTTTTACTGAGTAGTATTCCATTGGATTAATATAGTACAGCTTGTTTATTCAGTCTCCTGTTGATTGATACTTGTGTTGTTTCCTGTTATTTTCTATTATGAATGAATATGCTGTGAAGTCATGTTCAAGTATTTGTAAATACATATATTTTCTTATAGATACCTAAGAGTGGGATTGTTGGGTAGTAGGGCAAATGAGTAGCTAACTTTATAAGAAACTTGCCAAGAGTTTTCCAAAGTAGTAGTTCCATTTTATAATCCCCAACAGAAATATCTGAGATTTTCAATTTCTCCACAATCTCTCCAACATTTACACTTACAGTTTTTTCATTTTAACCATTCTTATGGGTATGAAAGGATTTTTCATTATGGCTTTAATTTGCATTTTCCTGGTGACTAGTGATATTGAGCACCTTTTCCTGTGGCTGTTGCTCATTTTATATCGTTTGAGAAGTGCCTGTTCAAATCCTTTTTATGGGGTTGTTCAATTTTCTAATTGTTGATTTGTAGTAATTCTTTATAAATTCTCATGTAATTCCAAAAGATATGAGACATTTGTCAGGTTTATGCACTGCAAATATTTTTCCCAGTTTGTGTTTTTTAGTGGCACCTTTTGATGAACAGAATATTTTAATTTTGGTGAGATCCAATTTATCAATTTTTTTTCATGGTTAGTGCTTTTTGTGTCTTGTCCAGGTTATAAATAAATGTACCCATATTTTTTTTTCTAGAAGCTTTCTGGTTCTGGCTTTTGCATTTAGTTCTGTGATCCGTCTCAAATCATTTTTGTATGGTGTGAGGTGGGAGTCAAGATTCATTTTTTTTCCTATGTGGAAAAAGACCTTCCTCTCCTCATTGAGTTGACTTAATGCTTTAGTACTGCTTACTACTTTAACTTTCCAATTCTTCATTGTTGGTATATAGAAATGCAAATGAGTTTTATATCATCCTTGTATCCTGCCACCTGGATAATTTCTTTTAAAAATTACAGTAGCTCCTTTAAAAATAATTTCCTTAGGGTTTTCTCCTCTCCTGTCACCTGAAAATAATGATGGTCTTACTTTTTTCTTTCTGATCTTTATGACTTTTATTTCTTTTTCTTACTGCTATGACTGCATTGCAGTGGTGCACAGAA